ACCGGAAATGATAAAGAGGTACACCGTTAATACAGCGATTAAAAGGTAAAAAATCAACGATGATATTTCCAGCCATGAGAAGACCCGAAGGGGGCACGCGTCTACGCGTAAAAAGCCCTGTTCAGGGGTCACAGTCCCACGACCCCTTTCCATTTCACCTTCGTACGAATCGTTAACACAATAAAAAAAAAATTTTTTCACCTTTTGGGATCCCCGACGATTAAAAACTTTCCATGGGATAAGGGAAACCTTGAAAGAAGAAATTCGACACGACAGTAAGCAGGCATGATCCGTCAAAGAAGTGGGTCTCCATCATTGTCTTGAGCGTTTTCTTAAGACAAACTAATCTAAAAACTTTGTTGATGGCACCCTTGTACATCCTTCAGGCTTTAGATATTCCTTTCTGCCTACATAAACGTTTAAAGTTAGATTAACTCTGCAGGGTACAGTTAGCAGTCTCCTAACACGTTCTAGGCTTAGTAGTGCGATGGTTCTTTAATCAACTTTTTCGCAAGTCAATGTCCTGAAGAAAATTCCCATTCAACCGATGACTTATTCTTAACGCTTTGATGGAATGGCTTTTCCACAATTTGGAAAGCGGTAAAAAGGTTCAGGGCCGAAAGGTGTCCCTAACTATGCTCGGCCAACTGGCCTCTTCGTTGCCCTGGTACCTAGAGAGGGGTTCTAAAATTAAATATACATTGAGCAAAAAGTAGTCAGGCTAGAAGGCAGTGGAGAGAGAAACTAGACAGTACTTGCAGATAGGAGGTCACAAGGCCTACTGCACCTCGACCTGAGTAGGTCTATTGTGCCCCCTTGTTAATTATAACTCACTGGCCAGCTTCAGGTTATTAATCAGCCTCCATGGCTTTGCCAGGGGCTGTTTAGTTTAGATCTTGCTTGTGGTTTTTCTTGTCCTAGTTGCAAGAACCTACACATACATAGACTTTCACAGAATCATAGAATGTTTTCTTCGGTCTCCTCCTCTTCCTGGCAGTATCTGCACAGTGTTTTATCTGTCCGTACTCCTATCTGGTGCATGTGACTTCTTAAGTGGCAGTGCCGTCAGGAGTCCCACTAGAATCCTGGTTCGGTTGAGGTTGCCTTCCAGTAAGTTTTGCGGATGGCCCTTCTATGAATCTCTTCACGTGCTTCGCACCTGTGGTATTGTTCCACCAGGTTTTGATCTCATTAAGGATCCATTTTAAAATGTATCCTCTTTTGTGGCAGTGTGCTAAGCCACAGTAGGTTTCAGGGCCCATTTACCGATGTCAGTTCGGTCTTGCGGTTCACCCCGAAGACCCCAGCTCCTTTACTCTTGTCGGTTTTGGAGCCGTCAGTATACCAGTAGGAGTTTGCCTTTAGCTTCCATTCTTCCCGTTCTGGTATCAATACTTGTTACTTTGTAGTGAAGTTGTACTTTAGAGTAGTGGCATCAATTGTTATGCCTAGAATGGCATCATCTAGTAGCTATCCAACTGTAGATGTGAGACCGCCTCTGTCTCATACGCTCACTGCATACCTTCATGGTGATGAAGACAAGTGCCCGTGCATGTCTGCTGGTCTTGAGATACTTGTCCGTCGTTATCCTGAACCGCACTTCCCCCCCTCCTACTGACCCAACTACCTCACGCTAGCTCTGAGCGCGCATGTTCCTATGCAACAATGACAAAGAATCCAACTTAATGTATGCCTCGACACAATTCTTTCAACGAATTTGAATCGTCACTTCAGGGCTAGGTGGATAGGACATCATGGCCCGATCTGTTGTCCATCCTCGGACCCGATATAACTTCACTTGACTAGTTCCTGAGGGGCCATTTAAAAAACAGTATCTACGCCAATCAAAACCCAGCAACCTCAATTGAAGAACTGCGGCATTGATAGAAAATCATTGTCAATCCATCTCCCCTGACTATCTCTCAGAGCACCGGCGAAGAGTAATTAAAAAGAGCAAATCTTCGCATCTTTACGCAAGGCAGGCAGTTCGAACATGAAATGTGACTAATAAATAGCAATCATCAAATTGCACCAATGTTTTCAGCGTAGAAAATCCTTTAAAAGAAGTGCTAGGATGTATAGGGTCGCATTTGAAATTTTGAAGTTGAACTGTGCTTGAGGTCCCTGTATAATTTTTCTCCAAAAAAGGTAAACGTTTGAAACTAGGATAAACAATATTAAAGACTTTTTTTATGGCGTCATTGGTTCAAGAGAAATTCAGTCACCATATAACTCCTAGCAAGTCAGTAATGTCTTATACAGATTCAAGGTGGTAACTTATAAAGCCTTGTGCTCTGTGTGCTTTGTTTTTTTAACGCTTCATTTTGTACCAAATTCAAAACAATTCCCACCGGTTTGATTGACGACCGAAGGTGCCGGGATTGAAAAGGAGTAAGGAAAAAATATCCTTTTGTCGTCGGAAATAAAAATCAGTGTAGCCCAGTAAAAAGGATCACGTGGGAACACGAAAAAAAAGTAATCAATACTTCGATTAATCAAGTCCATCAAGCCCCAGGGGATTAGATATTAGGCACGGTTTTTTTTTGTTATTCTACACTTTTATTATGACAAAGGTTGTCGGCGGAAGAATTAAAGTTTCTGTTCTAATGAATCTAAACCTTAATATTAACCCGTCCATAAAAAAAGCCAAATTTTCCTTAGTTGCTGTATAAATATTTGAAAATTTTTTACAACAAATTGGTTTTCTGATTTTCCAACAAGTTTACGGAATCTCCCTTGGCGGAAGTCGGTGTGATAGGAGGAAATTTATTGAACGATCAATTTGCCAGATTACAATAATTATCGGGTGTGTGCTTGTTTATCTTCGCCCTCGGTATAAATCAACCGCTGGCCCAACGTATAAATAAAAATCTAGAACAGCCTTTAAAACAATTGCCACATGAAAAATAATACTTCCTCCGACTCTAACGTGTTTCACAGATCGTTAAGTTATTTCCAGATTAAAATATAACGAGATAGATTGCGAAAGCATTTGATAATTATTATTTTTGTTTTGTTAGATGTCTTATTTTTTGTTCTTTTACTGCAAGCCTAAAATGGATTTCGGCCGAAAAATCCAACCGCCGTGAGTGATCTTCATCACGATTTAATCCGGCACCGGTCACGTTTTCAAAATCTGTTTAAAATACACTACAAACAACTGATCCGGGCTCAATATAAATAGACGAGTCTTTCCTGGAATATACTAGGGATAAGGATCCGATAAAGGAATAGCGAAAGTGATTACTGATTTACTTTTTGGGGAAGAGACACAATCCAAAGACTCAGGAATATGCCAAGAAGACAACTATACATACATCTAGAGGTGTATCGAATTGTTTTTTATAAATAGGCAAAAAAATAATGAAAGGATGTATTGACTTCCTTTTCGATAAACGACATAAGAATGAAACAATCTCAGGAATGGACGTATTGACATCCTTTGTAGGAAAGAAGAGAGAGAGAGAGAGAGAGAGAGAGAGAACGGGATAAGAGAGGGAGGGATAGGTTGATATTGAGAGAGAGAATAATATTTGAGAGGCGGAGAGGTATGAAGAATGGCACAGAGAGAGAGAGAGAGAGAGAGAGAGAGAGAGAGAGAGAGAGGAGGGGAGTGTTTGAGAGAGGAATAATATTTGAAAAACAGAGAGAGACGGAGAGGTATGAAGAATGGCAGAGAGAGAGAGAGAGAGAGAGAGAGAGAGAGAGAGAGAGAGAGGAGGGGAGTGTTTGAGAGAGGAATAATATTTGAAAAACAGAGAGAGATATGAAGAATGACAGGGAAAGAGAGAGAGAGAGAGAGAGNTGTGTGTGTGTGTGTGTGTGTGTGTGTGAGAGAGAGAGAGAGAGAGAGAGAGAGAGAGAGAGAGAGAGAGAGAGAGACAGACAGACAGATAGACAGAGACAGAAAGAAAGAATGAGATTGAGAGAGGTTGGGAGAGAGAGAGAGAGAGAGAAATATTCGGAAAGGCAAACAGAGAAAGAAAGAATGAAATTGAGAGAGATTGGGAGAGAGAGAGAGAGAGAGAGAGAGAAAGAGATTCGGAGACCGGTTGAAAGAGAGATTGATACTGAGACAGAGAGAGATAGAATGAGATTGAGAGAGTTTGGGGGAGGGAGAGGGAGAGAGATTGAGAGAGAGAGTGTGTGTGTGTGTGTGATGAAATAATGAATAAAAATAAATTTATTCTATATAGAAAGTCAATACAGCTTTTATTAGTCTTTAATTGGATCATATCGCCTACACTAGAGGAAACGAAATTTTTCAATCAACACTCAAATCAATTTTTTTATATTAATTTTCAAACATATAGTCTAAATTTATACACATTTCATCAGGAACGACGCGTAACGTACAAAGTTACACGGTACATTTACTGCCGACGACGAAAGTCTTTTACGGAGGCCGTTTCCTCCCGACTATATTCTCACATAAAACACTTCCTAGAATCTTTTAGACTCTTAACACATCGTCCATCTCAATCAAAGTTATCTTAATTGCCGATCAGCCACACGCGGTCGAAACGCTTGATTTACACGACTTTCAAATTTTATAGGAAAAAACACCGTTTCGCCTCCAGTAGGCGGAATCCGTTGATAGACCTAAGAAAGTGTTGCTTAAAAGAGAGTGCTACACATTTTATGTACATGAAATAAGGCCGGTCTAGTGATTAGATTGTAATAGTTTGGAATATGAGGCAGTAACTGCTGACTGCTCAGAAGAATAGAACTCAGTACAAACCCTATATGATCGTTAAGGTGCAGTTTTAATTAATTGCGGTACAGTTTAATTATTTTTATATGGCAATAGCAATGGGTCAAGAAATAATTAAGGAAGCACCTTGGAAAGTGCTTGAATTAATAAAGGATGTGTGATTCCTATGGTGTGGCCATAATGAAGTCATACCATGAATGATTTGGTTATTATGGCAAAACCGAGAAATTTTGTTTATTTTATCTGCATACCGTTTGCACACTAAGAATAAAGATTTCTTTCTTACCTCTTCTTGAAAAATGCGCATTTTTGCCGTTTTCTCCGTCGCTGTCTCATTAATACGAGCCGGGGGTCGGCTGGCTGGAGCGGGTCTTGACCCCCCCAGGCTTATCTAACGGATCTGTAACAGGAAAATAGGGAAAAACCTTTGTATAAAAAACTCTCAGTATTAATTTTTTTCACGATGCAAAGGTATGATTAAAAAAGAAATGCTAGACGAAAAAAGTCGAAATGACATTTTAAATGCCAAAGACGACACGGACAGGAGGACATTAGGGTGTCCTTTTTGTAAAAGACATCCTCAACTCTTTAGACACGAAAGAACGTCCTTCATCGCCAAAAAGTTTCGAATTTCAGCTGTCCGAGATAATAACTTGTGATAGAATTTATGTGGCGCTCGTGAAAAATTTATCACCGCGATTCCTCGGGACCTTGGATCAACTGTTTCAACGGTGATCTGTCATGAACTGGTTTGTACACATAACGTCCGGGGGAGAGGAAATCCGAAGAATTCCGTTTGCGCCCCGAGACGAAAATGTCCAGGGGAGCTGAGCGCTTAACATAAACAGGCCAGTTTATTTCCAAGTTCATCCATATGCATGCAAAACCACCCGTCATTAGCTGAGATATTTGCAGACGGTTTGCTGATTTCCGGGTATGGGGAGGATAAGACGATACCTTACCCCCGGTATCTGCCGTTTTGTGAATAAAGGTAAAACGTCTAAAGACCGTTAAGTGACTCACGTAAGGTTAGAAGCAGGGAGTGGTACAACGAACACTCACTCCATTTCTCCCATGTCAAAACACAAGCAAAACAATGGAAGATCAAAGAAAATATGATAAACAGTTATATAAATACATGGATATACAAAGAGTAATGTAGAAACAGAATGTCTGATAAAAAGAGCAGAGAGTTAGATAGGGGAGAGAAAAATGAATGAATATTGTTTTATTCAAAAATCTCGCAAATTTAGATCACGAAAGAAAGAGGGAGAAAGAGAGAGATAGAGATAGAGGTAGAGAGAGATAGATAGATAGATAGATAGATAGACATAGATAGAGAGAGAGAGAGAGAGAGAGGGAGAGAGAGAGAGAGAGAGTGGGAAAGACAGACAGACAGTAAGACAGATAGATACAGAGACAGTGACAGAGGTTGAGACAGAGACAGAGTCAGTGACAGAGAGGTAGTGAAAGTGTGAGAGAGGCAAAGAGAAAAAGAGAGAGAGAGACAAAGAGACACACAGGAAGAAAGAGAGAATGAACGGAGACAGAGAAAGAGGAAAATAAACAAAGAGGAAGTCGGAGAAAGAGAGAGAGAGAAACAGAGAAAGAGTGAAAAAAACAAAGAGACAGTCAGAGAGCAAGAGTGAGAATGAGAGACAGAGATAAAGTGTGAGAGACAAAGAGAAGTCATATAAAGAGAGATTGTGACAAAGAGGCAGACAGACAGAGAGGGGAGAGAGAGAGAGAGGAGGAGGAGGAGAGAGAGAAATAAAAAGAGAAAATTATTTTTTATTTGTACCCTATACATATTAGTACATAAAACAAATACAATCACGATGTTTTTTTCACAGTCACTGAGGCCAGCACTGCACCAGGAGGACACATGCCATTAGAAACCAGCCAATGCTCGTACTCAGTGTGAGGGATTAAAGGGCAATATCTCGAGGCAGTCGTCGGGCGGGTTTTGGAGATTGGATTGTATACAGAGGGTTCCAGTAGACGATCGAGAAGTTGATTTGAACAAACAGGAACGGATCATTCATTGCAAAAGGAATGTTTATGTCACTGTGGATAGTAGGGTTAGTTGCGCGGTAACTTACTTTGCTTTGGATGCACTCGGTGTTGGATGGCTTGGCAGAACCCCACAGTTCCTCTCCGTATGTCCAAAGTGGTCGGAAGTAAAGTTTTGTATAAGGTTAGTTCTGTTTTGAAGGTCAAGACGGATTTCGGTCCTAGAAGTCTTCGTAGTTTTTTAAGTCTTCTGTTAAGTCTTATGTGGGGCTCCACGAGTCTGCTGTCTAGATATAATCTGAATGGAAATAGGTATATTTTTGTTGTATATTGGAGAGAAAGCAGTTTTTTTCTTTTCTTCAAGTAAACATACACTGAGTACATTTTTCTTCATTCAGCCATGTTCTTTTTGTGTCTGTCTTCTATATGATGATCTTAGATGGGAGGAAGGTTGGTGAGGATGCGAGTTAGTAGGTGGTAATGTATTAGGTCAGCAGTGTAAATTATACAAAGGATGGGACCAATACGCTCCCTTCTGGGACGCCGGATTGTCTATCGTCTTCGGAGAACGCGTAGCCGAAGCTCACTCTGAACACAGTCGGTTAGGACAAATGGAGGGTAAACTGTTCACAAGTATGTTTGTAAAACAGATCATCTAATATAAAATAAAACAAAATAACTAGAAAGATATGAACACATCAGGCCGGGTAAAGGGCCTGATAGCAGTACGTCAAGACTATAAGCAGGGAAGGCTCTATTAAGCTCGGCCCTATCTGTAACGTGATCAAAGTGCAAAAAACGTCCATTATAAAACTGATGATACTTCTCCATTTGTGCTATAATTGCCAACCCGTTCCAATTACAATCTTGGGACAATAATCAGCGAATGAATAAGCATCGTCGATGGGAAAGAGGTCCAAATGACATGATTGATTAACGAAGTACCGATATGAATCCTACGTTTTTTCCACATTCGAAATGTGGATTTTTTTCGACCTCCTGTTGATTTTTCACCCATTCCGCAAAGCAGCCGAGACAAATCGTTAAAACAGAAAAAGACTCTGCCTAATAAGCGAGTCCGAGGAGGGTTTTTATTTTATTTTATTTGTTTATTTATTATTTGTCTCTTTTGGAAGAGCGTAGATTGAATTTAAAAGCCTTTATTTGCATAGATTTGACACTGAATCAATAAAGGAACATCTGAACTAAATTGCCCTCCTATTTACTTTAAAGTCACCGATATTATTCGGAATGCTTTTAATAAATTAGTAACCTCTTTAAATTCATTGATTTACCTCTACTTTCTTGGGCAATACGCTCGGAAACATTCTGATCTACAAGACCTTTCGTAATTCACATTTTTTTTATTATTGCAAAAATAAATCATTCATTCATTCACTCTCTCTCTCTCTCTCTCTCTCTCTCTCTCTCTCTCTCTCTCTCTCTCTCTTTCTAACTAGCTCGCTTTCGCTTTCGCTCGCTCTCTCTCTCTCTCTCTTTCTCACTTGCTCGCTCTAGTTTTCTCTCTATCTCTCTCTCTCTTTCTCACTTGCTCTCTTTCTCACTCGCGTATAAGATTCTTACATAGAATATGTAGTTAACGTTATACTTATATAATTTTATTTACTACTTTTATTATTCTCTTTTTATAATAAACTTTTACATTAACTTCTTAAACGTTAATAATCATTTTATTAGTTTTTTTTTCATTATGTTTCAATCCTAGAAGGTTGTAATCTAGTTTTTAAAAATCCTACGAAAAATCTACATCTAATTTTGTTACTCAACACTAATATGCTCTATATAAAAATATAACTTATAAGTTCAACTTACTCTTCCTTCATTTAGTTCAATGATGATTTTATCATAATTTGTTACTTATATTTTATTTCTGTTGCGACTATAAACAAATATTACAATTGAAACACACGTTAAGTGTAAGAAAGGTCCTAGAGACTTCCGTTTTGCGTGTATTTTAATGAATAAATCGTTAATCAATCAATCAATGAAACAATCTCACACTCTCACTCACTTTCTGTCTTTTTTCTCACTCACCTATTCTTAAATTTGTGAGATTGTTTTAAATAAAACAATATTCAATCATTCATGCATAATCTCACTTTTTTCTCACTCGCTCTCTCTCCCTCTCTCTTTCTCACGTTCTCTCTTTCTTTCTCTCTCTTGCCCACTTGCTCTCTCTCTCTCTCTCTCTCTCTCTCTCTCTCTCTCTCTCTCTCTCTCTCTCTCTCTCTCTCTCAATTTCTTTGTCTGTCATTTTTCTCCCGCTCGCTCACCCACTACTAAATTTGCGAGATTTTTTAAGTAAGACGGTATTCATTCATTCATTCTCTCTCTCTCGCTCTCTCTTTCTCTCTCTCTCTCTCTCTCTCTCTCTCTCTCTCTCCCTTTCTTTCTTTTTTCTCCTGCTCACTAACCCACTATTAAATTTGACAGATTTTTTAAATGAAACAGTATTCAATCATTTAAACATTATCTCTCTCTTTTTCCTCATTCACTCGCTCTCTCTCTTTCTCACTCACTCACTCACTCACTTACTCTCTCTCTCTCTCTCTCTTTCTCTCTCTCTCCTCTCTCTTTCCCTTTTTTCTTTTTTCTCCCGCTCACTAACCCACTACTAAATTTGAGAGATTTTTTAAATAAAACAGTATTCAATCATTTAAACATTATCTCTCTCTTTTTCCTCACTCTCTCTCTCTCTCTTTCTGTCCTTTCCATCTTTTTTGGATATATATATATATGTCGGGGCTGGACAAACGACTCGTTCAATTTAACTTTACTTTATTAAAAGTAGACAAATATACTACAATTACAAACAATTTTGAACTTCACTTAATTTTCACACGTCTTTTTCGTCTTTCCGATCTTCTCGTCGTGACTGTCTGTAAAACTACTATCTACTACTATCCCTGTAAACCATCCCTAACACTCTACCTCATCCGTCCCAATACGTCCCCACCCCTAATCGCACTCTCACGTCATCATCCCATATATATATATATATATANCTTTAATAAATCTATTTATAATAAAGTAATTTTAGTATTTTTGGTGGTTTTATAATTTGTTGGACTCCTGAAAAGCTGTCAAGAATGAGGTAGTTTAGATAAACACTTTTTCCATTTTTTACGTAGTTTTGACCTTTATTAGGGTCCATCTTCAGGTCATAAAGTGTGGTGTCATATTGGTATTGTATGAAACCCACATTCCACCCGAATGAAGGTCGAAACTTCGGCAAAAAATTAAAAAGGTGTTTTTTCTAAACTAACTCATTCTTGACAGCTCCTCACGAATCCAACAAGTTATTTATCAAATTGGAAAGGAAAAGGCGCGAGTAAATAGTTTTTTCATATATATTTATTTTTCATT